AGAATGCCCCTTCCTCTGCAGCCTCGCCACTGGAATGTGGCCTCATGACCTAGAGCTGCTCTACTCTCTGTGGATAGACATACTGGCACCATCGCGAGGAACGCAGTCTCAGGAGCAAGGCCACCCCAGACCTTCCTCTGCGCAAGCACAGAGGCCTGCCTGCTGCGGGAGCCGGCAGACTGCCAGGGAGCCTTCCTACCTGCCACCCTCAGGGTGACGTCAGTCAGGTGGTCCCCAGGCTGCAGGTGACCGTACTCTCGGATGAAGTGACTGAGCGAGATGTCCACGTGGAACTTGTGTGGGTATGGATCTTCCCCGTTGACCTTCAGCTGGTGGACTGCTTGGCTTCGGATTTTGAAGTATTGCTGTTAAAAAAACAACAGAGCTTCTGAGAAGTTGAGCCCGGTCAGACCAGGGGCTGGTCTAGCGGAGTTCAGTATCCTGCCTCAGAGGGGCCCCAATACAGAGAGGTTTCTTTAACCAAGCTCTCCCTAGCCTTGGGATCAAGCATTGGCTATGGAGTGAGATTTGCACTTAAATATGCAGGGTGGCCAGATATATACCTGGGAATAAAGACTAGAATCCCAAAATGCAAGATGTGACAAAAAGAAAAATCACATTTCTGTCTAAATAAGTTTCTTTTTTTCAGGGGGGGGGGGCGGGCGGGGCGGCAGGGCTGTCCCCAGCAGTGGAAGCTCAGAGACCTAACCACTGGACCGCCAGGGATTCACTGTGGACCACCAGGGATTCACTAAAACAGCAAGTTTAACTGGTGTAGGTGGAGCTGGTTACCACTTCTGGAGGCACATCTGCTTGTGAGTCACTTCTCCTCCTCCTTTCCTATCCCTGGTCACACACCAGATTTTTCCCCCAGGCACGCCCATGGGCCTGGAGGTATGAAAAAACACTTTTTTCATATTAGAAACAATATTTTCTGATGCAACTACTCAACTACTCAAGGTTGTAGTGTGAAAGCAGCCTTAAGACATGTAAACAAGTGGGCATGGCTGTGTTTCAACACAATTTTACTTATAGAACTAGGGAGGAGAGGGTTGGTGGTGGCTTTGGCCTGTGGGCCACGGTTTGCCAGTCTCTCAGCTACAATAAATCCCCCAGGCCACCTGTAGGGAGAGATTTTCTCCAGGGTTGCTATAAGGTCCAGTTAACTCCAAGGAGTTATCAGCCACTTGGAAGTACTGGATTCTCTAGAATGTTAAGCAAGAAAAGACAAGAAAGATGCGCAGGGCCTGTGCTTTTAACGAGATGGAGTGGTGGGCCCCCCTCATCAGTCCCAGTCCCTGTTTATCCCCCCAGTCACTGGTCCCTCCTACTGTCTCTTCCTGGGGAATCTGCCCTAAGTCTCATCAGAAGCTGCCCTGAGTGCAGGGAGGGCAGTGGTCCCAAGAACTCACATTTGGGTCCAAGCTCTCCTCCTCCGCAGCCACGCCATCATCAGCACTGTGATTGGTGGCGGCCTGGCTCAGCTGTTTCTCACTGAGCTCCTTCTGCTTGGCCTCCTTCTCCGCTATTTTCTTCTCAGCTTTCAGGCGTCTCTTTAGCTCACTGTCAAGATGAAAGTGTTCAATGTAACAGGTGCCTGAAGAGTCCCCTACGTTCTGCCCCATCACCAATTACCAAAAATATCAACTGCCTAGGGAAACACACTTGTCCAGTTCCACACCCCCACGGTTCTCTCTTAGTTACTAAACTCTATGCATGAGGTAGACAGAGGAAAAAATAAACTTAGAATAAAGATGTGAAAGATCTTCCTCAGTCTCTATTTTCCAGTCGGAGGTCCTTGGCATTAGGTCCCATCTAAAATCAAAATACACAAGGACAAAGAAAACCCTACATATTAGTTTACAGTTAGGATAGGAAAAAAAATGTTTTACAGAAAATCAGCAAGATTTTCTCAGGCTAATTAGGCTTGGGATCTCCTTGAGGCCAGGGACTGAGTTGTTTAGTATCCTTTGGAGAACATGAAGTTCTGAGAGCATCAGATTTGATGTGTGATAAGGTGAAAGTCCTAGCTTTGTCATCTCTCTCCACTACTTGTGGGCTGAGGAAGTCCAGGGAGACACTCCTCTGACAATCACTCCCCCAGCATTGATTAATGCATTGACAGTGACCCTCAGCACTGGCCTCACTTTCCCCAGAGGAGCTGGACTTCGACAACAAATTGGGTAGATAGTGTACAAAGCAGCATGCTGTAGGGGATAATACACCATCTTTGGAGCCAGACTGTCTAGGACTAAAACCTGACTTGGTGTGCTTGAGCAAGTTACTCAATTACTCAAGTTACTCCTTTCAAATAATAGACACCTTCTTCCCTAAATGTTGTGAGGATTGAAATATACACAAAGAGATGACCCCCATCCCTAGCATCTAACTGCATTCTTTAATTAAGCATGCAAATGTGAACTATTCTAGGTATTCCCCCACTATCTTAACTCTTCACACCCTGACTCAAGGACAGAAATTTTATAGATGTGGATTAAATTTCTGGTCAAATCTCTCACTATCCAAACTCTTTTAATACTTGTTACCTGAGACTCAGAAACCAAACAGATTTGGGCAGAGAGGGGTACCCTTATTGTTCTTCCAAACCACGAATGTTAAATGAATATCCTATAATAATGAACCATGGCAAATGATCCCTAGTCATGCTTGCTACTGTTTGGTTTCAGGGCACATTCTTAATTATATATGAGTTTAGAATAAATCAATTTACAAAATGGAGACTTGAAATGACCATCTTTTAAGCAAGAAAACTGACTCTGAGGGGCCCAAAGTTAAGTGTCTCTGAGTATAATCTGTTTTGTATCAGTTGTGAAGTTGCCCCTCCAGAGCAATGTGCTAGATTTCTTGTTCTGTCATTCAGTCAGGAGCATCTAAGCCTATTTGGTTCTTCCCAGCATTAACATAAGCCTGTTTACCTAGTTTTTGCCATTTAAATCACATCAGTAAAAAGGATTATCCAAAAAGGTTCTAGGAATAAGAACTAAGACTAGAAACCAAATTAATCTCAGAAGCAAAGAAATTCCAGAAAGATAGAAAAGGGAAAATAATCTGTATTACAAATTCTTTATTCATACAAGGGTTTCAATCTCAGCACTGTTCTAGCATAAGACCTAAACGTCATCTCAAGAATTTATGGAGTGCGAATTTGAATTTATTAGAGAAACTGAGAAAGGACTATTGGTTTGGGTAGTAGGTAGCAGGGTTGTTTAGTTGGCAACAAGTCCAAAACTCAGCCAGAGGCTTTACAGATAAGTAACTAAGAAGGACTTTTGCTCCCAGAGCAATAAAGAAGGTAAAGAGCACCAACCTTCTTTTATCAGAAAGTGGCTTGTCCTTGTGAATCGTTGTGAAAGGAGCAAGTTGACACAGGCGCAGCTCCCTCTGCCCCCACTGTGCCCAGGAGGTTTGGCGCAGGGACCCCCTAACAAGCCTTACAGCGGCTTGCATCAACATGGCAGAATACCCTGGAACCACCTAAGAATGATTACCACCACCTAACAGGAAACAGAGATGTGGTGTCAGATGGGACATGCAGTACAATATACCCCCAGCCAGCACTCCTACTGTTATGGGTTGGGTTGGGGGAGAAGGGGAGGTTACACAACCTGTTAGTGTACCATTTTATGCAAGACCCTCTCCACTGACAGCAGCCCTCTAACACTCACTATGCTACACAAATAACTGACAATGTTCTCAGCCCTGGCTATGGTGAGATGGTGCTTATCTGCGTTCACAAGTCAGTAAGTCAATCAATGATTTACAGGTAGAAATGACCACAACATTATAGAAAACAGGAGACAGGACGCGAGGCAGTGTTTCTCAAGTTCCTGACATGCAGTTTCTCTCCTAGCGACAAAGATGGCAATGTGAAGCATACAAAACGTCATCAACTGCCAACTCTAGACGAAGCTAAAAACAAGCCGCAAAAGCACCTGAGTCAAAGACAAGACTTGTCTGGAGCTCTAGGAATGAGAAAGAAAGGAGAATTTCAGGAAGAGTCTTGGACTACATTAAGTTTATAACACTGGAAGGCAACACAATGACAGAGATCATGTTCTTCATTGCATTAAAATGAATGAGGCCTTAACTGAGTCACCTGGCAGACAGCCTGCTTTTAAACTTGGAGACAATAACTGGCGTACAGTGGTGCTCACTAAAGATTCTGACAAAGGAAGTTCCAAGAATAATTAAGACACAGAAGTAAAAAAGATGCACTAAGGCAGCCATTAAATGCAAGAAACTAACTTCTCTCCATGCCTCTGGAAGGTACTATATTTATGTACTATCTTTGGGAGTACTGAGCAATTAGTCACTCATCACTGTCGAGGTTCTAGAGGACTCCGGTTGAGGAATGCAGTATTAAGAGAGTACAAGGGACAATCGGTGAAAGAGCGGCCAATCTTAATTCATTTATATTTACCTTTATACTCCAAGGATTTGGGGTGACTAACAAAGATACTTCCAGCAGTGCTAAGTGCAGCTTGCTGTACTCGGCTAAATAAGACAGTCCATACTGCTGGAGATCGGTGATTCACTCAATTCTCAAAAATCCTCTGACCAACCCATAAAGATAGCTGCACGACAGTTTTAGAATGATCCCTTTAATACAAAAGGTTCAGAATGGCCTTGGTGAGGCCAAGGAAAATCTGAAGGTCCTTCTGAAGAGCTGGGTATTTATCATTTCTCCAACTTCTTTACCGGGGCGTGGCATAATAACTCATTTCTCCTCGAAAAGAGTAAATTTCGCTTTTCTCCGTCGCCGCCCAGTTCTCCGCATTCTCTTACTCTAGGAGCACAACAGGGAGGAAGGACCCAACCAGCGCGGCCCTCGGGCAGCTTGGGGGATGTAGTTTCGCGGCGGCAGCACCCGAGTCCCAACGTGTTCATAACCACGAGAACCGGCAGCAAGGCCCCAGGCACACCCGTCCCGGCCGGAGCCTCGAGGCGCTTCCTAGTCCAGACTCTCCGCATAATGCATAATGCATAATGACCGCAACGACACTTANGGGGGCGTCGCCGCCGCTGCAGCGGCGGAGCCTGAGCCGCCGTCGCAGGCGGGGCGGATGGTCTTCACGGACGCGGACGACGTGGCCATCTTGACCTACGTGAAGGAACATGCCCGCTCGGCCAGCTCCGTCACCGGTAACGCCTTGTGGAAAGCGATGGAGAAGAGCTCGCTCACCCAGCACTCCTGGCAGTCCATGAAGGACCGCTACCTGAAGCGCCTGCGGGGCCAGGAGCACAAGTACCTGCTGGGGGAGGCCCCCGTGAGCCCCTCCTCGCAGAAACTCAAGAGGAAGGCTGAGCAAGACCCGGAGGCTGCTGATAGCGGGGGTGAGGTCTGCGGTCGCCGACGCGCGGGTGCTCAGCTGTCATTGGTGTGTGCTGGGGGCGGGGGCGTCTCCCCCTTCCTCGGGGAGTCCTTGTGGGCGTCTTAGGGGCATCGCCCAGCCCCTCTCCCTAACCCCTTTTGCCGTCCGGGTAAAGTTTGCATCATTTTGTAATCTCTCTTTAAACGTACGGGTAAAGTTTGCATCATTTTGTAATCTCTCTTTAAACGTCCGGGTAAAGTTGGCATCATTTTGTAATCTCTCTTTAAACGTCGGGGTAAAGTTTGCATGATTTTGTAATCTCTCTTTCACATCCTTTTTTCATAACTGGGGTATTGACACGGCCCGAGATTCAAAAGAGGCAGAAAGAGTCTGTGGAAGATTCTCCCCCATCTCCTTTCATTTCCCACGAGCTATCCAGTCCCCCCGCCCCCAGAGACAACCTGTATCTTGGGTATCTTTTCAGAAATATTTCAGAGACTCGTTTTAAACAATGTTTCTCATGGCTTTAGGTAGATTCAGTATAAGCCAGTTTTAAAGCCGTGCTAGTGCAGTTTATTTTCATATCTTGGCTTAAATGAATGCACATTCACAGAAGAAATTTCTCGTTTATTGGAAGCCGCTTCCTAGTTTCTCGGGTAAGGTGAGCTTCTAACGCAGTTGAACTGAATATTGGTTTTCCGACGTGGTTAGGACACAGGGCTTAGCTGTTGAGTTGCTTCTCTTGTGACTTAATCGGTATTGAGCTTAAACTGTCAGACATTTTCGTTTAGAGTCATGCTTCCTCCTCTTAACGTCTCTTTCCTTGTGTGACTATTCTGCATAACAGTTGAAGTCTGGGGAGGTAAAATCTATTTTCTCCTGTTGAGTATGCTTAGTAGGAGTTTTGTTTTTGGAAAAGAGACACTTGAGTTTCATTCTCAGCCACAGGACTGGAAAAGGTCAGTTTTCATTCCAATCCCAAAGAAAGGCAGTGCCAAAGAATGCTCAAACTACTGCACAATTGCACTCATCTCACATGCCAGTAAAGTAATGCTCAAAATTCTCCAAGCCAGGCTTCAGCAATACGTGAACTGTGAACTTCCAGATGTTCAAGCTGGTTTTAGAAAAGGCAGAGGAACCAGAGATCAAATTGCCAACATCCNAGTGTTCTTGCCTGGAGAATCCCAGGGATGGCGGAGCCTGGTGGGCTGCCGTCTGTGGGGTCGCACAGAGTCTGACATGACTGAAGCGACTTCGTAGCAGCAGCAGCATATTTCTCTTTAATAAGCATACAAGCCACTTGGTTAAAATGCATATTTCTGATTCAGGTCTGGGTGGAATCCAGTGTGTACAATTCTATTCTAGGTTATGCTAATCTTGAGAGTCCCTTGGAGTACAAGGAGATTCAACCAGTCCATCCTAAAGGAGATCAGTCCTGGGTATTCACTGGAAGGACTGATGCTGAAACTGAAACACTAATACTTTGGCCACCTCACGCGAAGAGTTGACTCATTGGAAAAGACCCTGATGCTGGGAGGGATTGGGGGCAGGAGGAGAAGGGGACGACAGAGGATGAGATGGTTGGATGGCATCACCGACTCGATGGGCATGAGTGAGTAAACTCTGGGCATTGGTGATGGACAGGGAGGCCTGGCATGCTGCAGTCCATGGGGTTTCAATTCATGTGAATCATGTGATTCATCGGACACGACTGAGCGACTGAACTGAACTGAAAGAGACACTTGAGATTCATTTAACAGATATTTGAGTGCCAGACTCTTACCTGCTGGGTGGTAACAGTATATAAAACTCCTTGCAGTCAGGGAGCTTAAAATGCTAGCTGGGCAGTGGTGAGTGCTATCAGTTCAGTTGAGTCGCTCAGTGCATGGACTGCAACATGCCAGGCTTCCCTGTCTGTCACCAGCTCCAGCTGCTATAGAAAAAAATAAAAAGGGTAAGGGCTGGAAAAGAGGTTGTTTTCTACAGGGTAAGAGGGGAAGTTCACTGTCATAAGCTCATACTTGAGCAGAGATCAAAGGAAGTGAAAGAACTAAACTGATGGTTATTTGAGGAAGAATGTGCCAGGTTTTGGGGATATTAAGTGCAAGTCCTGAGGTGGAGTATGGCTGTTGTGTTCTTGGAGCAACAGAAATCAGTGTGACTGGGATGGAGTAAGGAAGAGGGAGGATTCTTGGAGAGAGGAAAGGGCTATGTGTGTGGGTAAAGGAGATCATATATATCTTATAAATAGAATTTTTATACATAAATCAGTGATGTGGAGATGACTGGTAGACCAGTTGGAACTTGGGATGAAATTAAGCTGTACTCACCCTTTGCAGTGTTTTCATGTTCAGATATTTAAATATAAAAATTAAAATCCGAAAAGGACCAGGAGAGGATGTGGATGAATAGCCTTTTAAATAGCTGTATGTTGTTATTTCTGAAGCCAGGAAGACTAAGGAAAAAGTGTATATTTTATTACTTAAAATTTAAAGCTTTTCATGATAAAGTCAGAGGGCAGATTGGAAAAGTATACCCAATACATTGCAACAGAGCAAGTTTCCTTAGTGTTCAAAGGAAGTTAGTAAGTAAAAGAGAAACTAGTAGAAAAATGAGCAAAGGAAAGGAAATGGAGTGTTCAGAGGAGGGAATAAATAAATGGCTAATACATGCAGAAATGTTGTTATTAAATAAAAGTAAATTAGACCCTGATCACTGGACCGGTACAAGCCATACCTGGGCTTCTGACCCATGGAAACTGAAATAGTGTGTGTGGTTGTGTTTTTTAGAAAAGTAAATCAGAGCAAGACAATATCATATTTATCTGTTAATTATTTCAGCATGTATCTCTAAAATAAAAGGCTTCTTTTTAAAAATTTATGTGAAATAAAATTGACTTACTTTGATGTACAATTAGGTATTTAATTTTTTTTTATGGCGATAAAATATACGTTAGATGAAACTTACCATTTTAGCAGTTTTTAAGCGCTCCGTTCAGTAGCACTAAGTATGTTTTGATGCGGTCGTCACCACCGTCCATCTCAGAATGTTTTCATCTTCCAAAACTGAAATTCGTACCCATTAAACACCAGCCCCCCCATTCCTGCCTCCCCCTGGCAGTCACCATTCTGCTTTCTGTCTTCATAAATTTGATCTCTCTAGGTACCTCATGTAAGTGCAGTCATAATATATTTGTCCTTTTGTGTCTGGCTTATTTCATTTAATATAAGTGAGAGGCTTATTTTCAAAGCTTAAGGTCGTAGCATGTGTGAGAATTTTGTTCTTTTTAGGGTTGGATAATATTCCACTTTACGACCACTTTTTGTATATCCATTCATCCATTGATAGACACTTAAGTTGCTTCCACATCTTGGCTGTTGTGAATAATGCTGCTATGGTATGGGTGTACTAATACTTTTTTAAGACCATGCTTTCATTTAATTAATGATTAATTTATTTTATATTTTCAAAAGTGAAATAGCTGGATCATATGGTTTAATATTTTGAGGAATTGCTATACAAGTTTTCCAATTAGGTGTTTTAATACATGTATAGATTTGTGTAACCGTCACCATAATCATTATACAGAACAGCTTCATTGCAAAACTCCCTCGTGTTGCCCCTTCACAGTCAGTTTTTGTTAAGTGGAAAACAGCAGAGTTAAATCCTCAGAGAACAGAGTAAAAGAATAGGAAGGTGTTTAGCTTTATGAGGCTCTCCTTTCTGTAGATGGTATGTAGTGGATTGTGGTAGATCCCTCAGATCCATCTTCAGCTGGGCAAGGTTCTGTTATTTTATGCTAGCATCCAGTGACTAATCTATGTGGTGATTTTGGCTCCCTTTCCCCAATATGGTCAACTCTGAAGGGCCTTCCTAGCTCCATACTTCTCCATGGTTTTGGTTGAGGCTTTGTTGGAGCTCTTTCACAGCTCAGCTTCTCTCTCTGCCCACTAAGCACTCGCTGATCAACACGTTACACGTTAATCTCCATCTCAGAATCTGATTCCCAGAAAACACAGTTTATGGCACAGTTTTGGTTTTTTTTTTTTGCAAAATCNGTTCATTAGATACAAATCATTTTTTCCTACGTCCGTTCTCCTCCTTTGAAAGTGGCCATCCCCTCTGTCCTTTTTGTACACCTGAGGCCCAGAGAGGTAAGAGAGTTCAAGATGGAGGAGGAAAGTGGAAAGTGGGACTGACCCAAGTTCCAGGTGCGTAGCTCTCAGAGGTTGGTAGGGTACTTGAAAGAGGGGTAGAGGGAGAAAGATTTTTCAGCAGTACAAAGCATCTCACTTTGAGTACTTTGATCTATAAGGGTTTCTAAGTTAAGACTGTGGATTTATCTTTTTAAAATACTTTGTGCTTCTCAGATAAAAGTAATTTTTAAGGAAGTTAATTTTTTTATTAAATAATTTTAGCTCTTTGTATACTTAGAACTTTTTTAGCTCTCCATACTCAGTTAATTTCTTATACTTTGTTGGAATCCCATGTTTAATCATAGTAATAGAGGAAGGCAACCATAAAATAATTTTTAAAAAATCCAAATTATATGTGCATATTTCTCTAAGAAAAAGAATCTTAATTAACTTTTCTTACTAACAGCAAAAAAAAAAAATGGTTAGGTCTTAGTCTAAATCATGAAATAGTTTAAAATTAATTTAGTTTAAAGTTGGTTCATTTTTCACAAGCTTTCAGGTATTTCGACAACTCTCAAACATGGCCTACATAGATCTTTTCTCACATAACATTCTTTGTAATGTGCCTAAATGTAGTGGCATGTGGAGGCCCTAATATATTAATACAGCAGTGTTTTTTGAGTGCTTATTATATGAAGGCATTGTAAGCACTGAGGATGTAGTGATAAGCAAAATACAATTCCTGCCCTTATGGAGCTTACAACCTGAGAGGGAAGTCAAATTTTTAACAAATAATCTAATGCATACATGTATACTCATATATATGTACCTATATATGCATACATTTTTCATATTCAGTGTAGCTTCTAATGTTCTTTGGAATACCATAATTATACATACACATATTTATATGTATACACATGCACACATAGACACTTATATACCTTATACTCACACTCCTGCTTACTCTATGGCCTATATATGTGTGTGTGTATATCTATATATACACATGCATATATACACACATCTAGCATGACTAAATGTAAGAAGGAACATAGCACATTAGAGGACTGAAGGAAGTCCAGTGGAATGAAAGGGAAAGGAGGTGGTAGTTGGGAGAGACCAGATATTTTAAGAGTAAGTGTCTGTGACTTCATTATTACAAACTGGTTCCATTCTTCACTTTGTCTAGGTGGATGAGAGTCCTGATTTTGAAATACACATAACAATGTGTGATGATGATCCACCCACGCCTGAGGAAGACTCAGAAACACAGCCTGATGAGGAAGAAGAAGAAGAAGAAGAAAAAGTTTCTGCACCAGAGGTGGGAGCTGCCATTAAGATCATCCGGCAGTTGATGGAAAAGTTTAACTTGGATCTGTCAACAGTTACACAGGCCTTCCTAAAAAATAGTGGTGAGCTGGAGGCTACTTCCTCCTTTTTAGAATCTGGTCAGAGGGCTGATGGGTATCCCATTTGGTCCCGACAGGATGACTTAGATTTGCAAAAAGATGATGAGGCTACTCGAGATGCATTGGTCAAAAAATTTGGTGCTCAGAATGTAGCTCGGAGGATTGAATTCCGAAAGAAATAGTTGGCAAGATGATGGGAAAAAAGTTGGGCAGATAAGATGTTAACAATTTTTTGTGTGACCATTGGACTTCAGAAATTTTTCAGTTGGAACCGACACTAATCTTTTGACCAATTTTGTTGCCCTTTGAGTCCTAGATTTTGTACCCAAGCAGAGTTGTGTTCAGTTCAGTCACTCAGTCATGTCTGACTCCTTGCAACCCCATGGACTGCAGCACGCCATGCAGAGTTGTGTAGGAGGATGAAATAAAAGAAATGGGACATATTTTGAGCTGTTCCGGGCAGTATCAGTGTGTTTATGAAAGGAAAATTGAGAACAGAGAGGTTGGTTTACATTGTAGTGATCGTTTTCTGGAGTGGAATCCCTGCTATATTGGTGATAGGAGCTAGTCATGAAGTCAAAGAAGGCAAGTTAGATGGGTCTTGTGAAGGCATGAATAAAGAGCCTCCTATCTTTTGGCAGAAGCTCCTCTAGATTGTGAGAGATTCCAAATCAAGAATCTAGAAATATGGAAAAATTTAATTACAAGGCCTTGAACATGGACTGTCCCAAACTCTTGTAACCCTCAGTGAGCTCTGATTTCTGGGGGGCTTTGAAAACCCTGTGTTTCTTTTGCCAGCTTAGTATTTGGGAACCCTGTTCCTTGGCTCTTCTTTCCTTCGAGTGTGTGTCAGTGAAGTCCTATCGTCTAGTTTTGTTTCAGACACACTACAAGATAGTCTCAAGAAAAGTCTTAACTTGTTTACTAGTAATGTGTTTTTATTTATTGAGGATAGTTTTGTGCTAAGAATTGTGTTAGATTTAAAAATTAGAGGATTAATTCCTCTTTGTTGTGTTGATTTCATTGTTGAAAATAAATGGAACTTTGTATTTGAATCTCCACAAAGTGTTTTCTTTGGTTGTATTCATAAAACCTTTTAGGTATAAAAGCTATAAAGGAACTAACATTTTTTGCTCTTAGTAGTTAAAACCAATAAGAGGTTCCATTTAGAACTGATAGGCCGTTAGAAAGATGCTGTTTCTTCTGAATGGAGCAAAGAGAAGATCTGTGTCAAGGACTGTGAAAGATGGCATAACCAGGTGAACTGCAGAGAGCCAAAGGGCAGCGACGTCAATAAGCAGCTATCCAGTGTATAACAGAAGATGTCAGAACCTGTCCAGATGCCTGAGCACTCACCAGTCCAGCACATGCCAACAGCAGGAGTCTAACTGCCACACCTGTCGGAGGCTCGCTTTGCTTGACGTGCTATGGAGTTAATGCCCCTGAGAGCAGCTTTCGCCCAATGGTTAATGGGAATCAGAGAATGCATGCTCAGCTTCCTTGCTGACCAGAGAGATGACAACTGAATATTTGAGTTACTCCTTGAATGGGATGATGGTTTCCATGCCATCTTTGGAGGCGGCAAGTAGAAGGAAGCATAGTTGCTTACAGTGGGATGACTGCACCTTCATAGGCCTTCTGCTCTTACTTTATATCCCCATTTGTCTACTAGTGCATCCGGAATCCTCAGTTGCACTCACACTCTTTTCTTCTGGAAAAAGAGTCTGCTTCTGGGAGAACCCAGCCTAAATCAAAGCATGTAACCTTTTCTTCCTCCTCAGCTTGTTGGAATGGTACAACATAAGTGCAGGGATTTCCCTGGTGGTCCAGTGGCTAGGGCTTTGCACTGTCAATGCATGCTGCAACTAAGAGTGTGCATGCCATAGCTAAACTAAGTGACAAAACCCCTGAAAAAGCTAAAAGGTTTCACATGTTACAACAAAGGTCAGAGATCCCGCATGCTGCAACTAAGAGTGTGCATGCCATAGCTAAAAGATCTAATTGACAAAATCCCCGAAAAAGTTAAAAGGTTTCACATTACAACAAAGATCAAAGATTTCACATTTTGCAACTGAGACGTGGGTATGGCCAAATAAATAAGTGTGTGTGAAGTGAAAGTTGCTCAGTTGTGTCTGATTCTTTGCAACCCCACAGACTATCCATGGAATTCTTTGGCCAGAATACTGGAGTGGGTAGCTCTTCTTTCTCCAGGGGATCTTCCCAATCCAGGGATTGAACCCAGGTCGCTTGCATTGTAGGCGGATTCTTTACCAGCTGAGCCACAAGGGAAGCCCAAATAAGTGCATAAATAAATGTTAAAAAAAAAAAAAACCCACTCATTTGCTCACTATTTTTTTGCTCAGTGATTTTCTTTTGGCCACATTTTGTGACATACGGGATCTTAGTCTTAGTTTCCCTACTAGGGATCAAACCCGAGCCCCCTACAGTGGAAACATGGGGTCTTAACCATTGGATCGCCAGGAAGACTCTACGGTAGTGATTCTTAAATGGGGCTTAGGAGGGGTCGGTGGTGGATATTTGTTTAAAATGTGTTTTTCTACTGTGATGTGACACTAGGGTGGTTGAAAATCATTGCTTTAGATGTGAGATGGACATGTCATCTATCATGTCTGTACCACAGCCTATTGGCTTTACAGAGCTAGAGCTTCTAGTTTTGTCCATCATGTGCAAAAGGGTCTGATTTATTATACCCATACTACCAGAAGACATGTTTAAACATGTGCCAACTTCTAGTGTTCATTATAAACCAGTAATTTTCAAATATCTGGTTTTGTAATTTCTCAGATCATTTCATCTCTTGGGCTGGTATATATGTGGGGAAACATTATCAGAAGTATTTTTGGGAGCACAAAACTAAGCAAGGAAAATGAGTTGGATTTTAATAGTTAATGGCATTGAACTATAGCTGAATATATTCCAAAGACCAACTGTTTAAGTCTTAATACTGAGATACTTCTGCCTTAAGCTTCTAGATAATCTTGTTCTTTGCATTTTCTTTCCTCGACCTCATGAGTTTGACTTTGCTTTCTGCTTGTGTTCTGGGAGACATTATTTCTTAAATCCTTTAAGCTCTTGAGTTCTGGGCCTTTCTCATTATTCCCCCCTGGCTTTTTCTTATTCCAGCTTTTGAGATTACTTATTCCAGCCTTAAATAACCTCCACAACTTCCTTAGTGGCAGAAACATTCTGTCTTCTCTTTCTCTGCAGCAGTGAACATTCCTGGTATTGTTTTTGTCTGTTCGCTATTCCATTTAAGTGGTTGCAGCTTTGAAAGTTTATGCTGCTGTTTGCATTGTTCTCATCCTCTCTTACTTTTGGACTAATGCTCTTTGCTGAATCATAACCCCATCTGGCTTAGCAAAAGCCAGGTGTTTATTACATGTAACAGAAAACCTAACTCTAAAGAACTTCAACAAGTAAGAGAATTTATATTTTGTATATGTAACAAGTCTTGAGTTAGGGGGCTTTAAGGTTCTAGTTTTCTGCCCTGCCATCCTTAGCTTGTCCTGTCAGTCACTCCCCTTGTGGTAGAAAGGTGGCTGCTGCAGCTGCCAGCAGCCGAAGAGGGAGGGTTCCCCTTAAGGGTCTCTCTTACTGGGGGCAGCCTTTCTCAGAAGCCCCTCAGTCCAAAGGTTTTCAGCCTAGAGGGGTCTGAGAACTAAGGGCCCAGCTCCTTGGGACCCCAGGGACCTCTAGGAGGAGGGCAGATGCCTTTTATTGGAGGCACTGCTGGGATGGGGCAATCCGATGCTCTAGTCCTGGGCACCAAGCAAGGTCCACTGGACTTGCCACCTGCAAGGTCCAAAACCCTGCAGCCTCCATGTTCTCAACCTTGTTTTCAGGCTGTGGCGGCCTCGACCATGACAACTTTTAAGCCCTCCACTGGTTGAGCCCCATCCACACCCATGGATCACCTCAATCAAATAGGATATCTGGTCACCCAGTTCATGAAAAGCACATCAGACTCAAGAGATTCTGAACTGGTCAACCTGACTCCCTTGGTCAGACACTGTTCCCTGCATTTTTCTCTAGAGACTTAACCTCACTGATTGCTTCAGAGGTGAAAATTTACTTTTTTCCCTCTCTAGAGAAAGTCATCCTGTGTCCTTCCAGAGGCTATAGATAGATGTGTAGATAGATATGAATAGAGAAGAGTATAGAGGGGAGCTCTAGAGGCTGTGTAGGTGAACAATAAACATGTATATTTACATAGAGCAATGCATATAAACATGAAGATACAGACGTGCATATAAATGAAAAAGATTATAGATAAAAATGTAGAGTTTTCCCTTCTGAAGTCATCTCATAAGTTGAAGAACTGTCTACATATGGTTGAAGTACAGGAAAGATACTAGGAGCTCTCAGCTGTGGTTGCATGAGAGTCATCTGGGGGAACAATCTAAAAATCAAACTGGCATGGTATCACACTGTCAAATATATCATTTTTTGGGTAGATTTATGCCACAAATACCTGTATATATGCATGTGAGTTTTAATTATGTAAATGGTTAATGAAGATACTGCTCATATTAGGAAAAATTACTTGTGCTGAGTGTAATTTGGCTGTAAATCTTGGTGCTGGAATATTCTGGCACTTGTGCTTCAGTATGAACACCTAGAGAACTCTTGCTTGTAACACACCCAGATACCAGAAGGATGTCCACCTCACAACTGTATTTGTGCAAAACTAGTATCTGTAAAACTAGATGTATGTGTATTGATCTTTCAACACCTTCATATGGAAAGTAAAGCAAATGTGACAAAACAAAACAAATTGATGAACAAAGAAGTAATTTTTTTAAAAGAAAGGAATGTTTTTTAAAGCCATTTTATTACCAAGGTAGACCCACATAAACCAAAATCTATTTTTAGAAATTACCTTTTCAGAAGAAGGGAGAAGATGGAGAGTGAAAATGGTTATCCCAAGTTTTGATAAACATACAGTGTTATCTGAGGAAAAATTTTATGGACATATATAATCATATATGCAAATACATGAAAAAACCCTAAAAAATGGAAATACTAGCATCATTAGACTATGGTGATGATACGGTGTTGCTATTACAATTTCTTGTATGTTTTAAATAGTTTAAGTAAAAATACACTTCTAGTGAAGGTTACTCAGTATTGAAGGATTTGTCCTAATCCATTTAATCGTTCCCTTAATGATGGATACTGAGGTAGTGTCTGGTTCCTAATTTAAACCCTTGGAGCTTTGGGAAAAAGATCAGTTTTATGAACTCCATCAGGAAGTACAGCATCCATTCATTTTTTACATAACAAATTTCAAGTTTGCCCTCCCATATTGCTAGGAAGGAAAGCAGTTCTGATGTCCCTCAGAGACCTGTTCTCGCCTGAGTTAGGCTCCCCTTTGTGGATTTTCCAGGTGGTGGAGGACGTGGTCATTACAGAGGTCACACTTGTCAGTAAAATGCTTTTTTTGCCACAAGAATTCAGCAGATGTGTCCTGAGGTGCTTCCAGAGGCAGAATGGAGCTTGGAAGGAATCCTTAGAAGGGTACCAAAGAGAACCACTGCCCACAGACAACCTCCATTTGGGTTTCCACTTGGCTTTTCCTGTCCTGGGCTCTAATCTTATCCCTGGCAGGATGGCTTCCGCAATTGTTGTTCCTTAAATTCTTCTGATCTGCATCAAAAGAAAGGAGGCCTGGATCAGATTCAGAATGCCATCTTCTTCCTCCAGAAGCTCAGGCCCTGGTGAGCTTTTCAGGGTCTTCAGAAGAGCCTGAAAATCTTACTCCCTGAGGCACAGCTGGAGTCCTGGAGGGTTCTCTTCCTGTGAATGAGGATTCAAAAAATCTATACCTTCTACTGACAATCTGTGGGTGGCAGGAGTTGACCTAAAGTCTTCTTGAGGTTTCTCTATGTTGCTGGTGAGACTGGATGAGGATATGAGATGGTTCTCTAGCTCTCATGTGCTGTGGCCAGCAGTCTGTTTCGATGGCTCCCTTTTGAGGATCCCGCTCTGCAGTCAGCCTGGCAGCACTCATCCCACCACTGCAAAACGGAAGAGA